TGTGGTTTAAAACGCTTTAATAATAACGACAACAACAACAGGAAGAAGCAAAACGAGCTCTCACCTCGTCTGACGACATAGTGAAAGTAACCTGGAAAAAAAAGTTTACAAAATATTACAGATGTGACACACTGTCACTCACTTGAACAGTTAAATGAGGTTTTTAACAGAGGATCGACACAGACTGAGAGTCGAACAGCTAAAACACAGCTCAAGTAAACTTCACAACAACAAAATGTACCGCAGGCCTGCTTTAAACCACACAGATTACATCTCAGTGAGTTAAATTACTCTGAACCTGGAAATAAAACACCTAAATCAAGCCTCTGATGAAAACTCCCACATTAGATATGAATTTGCGTGTTTTTCTTTTTTTTATCAAGGTTTATTTCTTATTTTAAAAAAGCAGCCGCAGTGAACCTACCTCCTCCCGACGATCACGGCTCTGAACTCACACTCATTCTTTCAGTTTCTCTTTCCCCGCAGGAGGATCCCCTGCGTCTTTACGTATAATTAATGCCGCTTCCCACCAGCAGGGGGAGCTGCATCCAAAATAAACAAAATGCTGCATTTAATTCCTGTGGGAAATACGGAACCTTACATCACATAAGCTGCGAAGCACTTCATGAGAGGAAAAAATTGTTCTGTTTTTGGAACATCTTCAAGTTTCAGATTCATTTAACTTCTGATACAAATACATATATAAATTACGTCATATTTCCTTTTCTTTTATGTTTTAGCAGTGATGATCAGTCCGTATATGTATGCCAGCGTGTTTTTTTAAAATTAATTATTAAATTAATTTTTTTTTTTAAATTTTACAGACCAAAGACAAATATATTTTTAAATATAATAATGTGGATGGTATTTGTTAGGGGCAAATCTAGGAACTTGAGAACAGGTATTGCAGTGCAGACACATTATGTCAGGGTCAAAGAACACACCAGTCTGATCTGATGATTGCTGACAAATCCGGATATTTCCTGTATATTTTTATTTTATCTTTGTAAGAATATTGTTTCAGCCATTTTCATGTTTTTCAAAAACTTAAAATATTGTTTTTCACCTGTTTAAAGTTCATCCCCACATCAATCATGTTTACACCTGTAACCAGTGATCAATTACTTCAATATTAAAATGTTGAACGAATATTCAATATTTAAGATTTCTCATGTTAGAGTTAAGTTTCTTAAAATCAAGATTAGATTTTCCTAAAACTGCTAAACACTTTAAAAATTGTCTGATGAGCTCTGATCACAATACAACGTACCAATAGCTAAATGAAGATTTTCTATTATTAGTCTGCCTTTAATTCAGATGCTTAAAAAAATAAAATAAAAATAAAAATAAAAATAAAAAAGCAACCACATCTCACTGCCACATTCATAACACCCTCATTGAATGTTCAAGTATTCGAGCCACACTCCTCTGAAAGTTCCCGAGAATATGTCCTGCTAAAAATGTTCATCGAATAATTAGTCAGGCTTACATTTTGTTCAACCTTTAAATTTGTATTTAGCTGTTCCAGCTGATCAAATTCACACAGAAGCAGCAGCGAATGATTTTTCAGCAGAAAATGTGAACTCGTGTCTGTTTCCAGTATCAGTCTTGTAAATGTTCACATTATTGGTGCTGTTTAGTTCCAACCAACTGTTAAAAGCAGGCAGTAAGATATCATACAACCTGTTTCAAAGATTAAAAAAAGGCGAGTGATGATTTAGTGCCAAGGTCAGACATCTGCACTACGTTCCAGGGTAATTTGGTGCGACTACGTCCTCGTAACCAAGAATAACTCCGATTACTTTTCCAGCAGCTGGTGAATATTACAAGTCTATTTTTCCACAGTTTTCCAGATGGAATCCTTAAGAATATTTCATGAATTTTCAGTATGAGAAAACACACCCCACCCCACACAAACACGATGAGTCAAGAGTGAAAATCAGTTTTTAAACATTTATTTGTGAAACCGAGTGAATTTAGAATCTGAGCTTCTGGAAGAACCACTTGTTCTTGCCCGTCTTGTACCTGAAACAACAAACAGGAGGTGAAGTC